GGCCTGAAACTGAAGTGAGTTTATGGCCCTGTGACTGTGAGGCACCCTGATCCTTATTTTCAGTAGCAAGCAGTAGCTTAAATTGGATGGGGCAAGGAGGGCACCTGTCTTGGGTGCTGACTATGAGGAGGTACTAGAATATCCTCTACCAGGAGTTTTTGCCACATCAGGGGAAGCTCTATAGCCTGGCGATAGCAGTGGGCTAAGTCAGTGCCACACCAGTCAGTGTATCTGCAGGAGCGAGGGCAGAGGGCAAATGGAATGAGAAGAATGCCACTCCACTTCCCACAATGAGCTTCCTACACCTCTGATAGCAACATCTTATTTTTAATGCTGCTATTGCAACTTTATGTTTTAAATCACATTTTTAAAAGGTCTGGTTAATATACTGGAGTCTTCACATCAAAATCCATTGTAGGGCTAATTTTCAAAGATGCTTGATTAAATTTAACCCAAAAACTTTTGCTGTGCATGAGCACTGTGTTTGTGTGTACACAATCAGGTTCATGTACAAAAGTTTTCAGGTAATTTAAAATGCTTTGAAAAATTAGGTCATTTCTCTTTAGAACTTCTCACATGTCCACCATTAAATATGCATGCCTGTGGTGCTCAGCTACACATGGATTTCAATGTTATGTTTCCTTCTAGGTTCTGAAGACATCTATGCTCTCAGTTTCAGGTTGCCAGTCATATTTCTAATCTTACATACAAGGTTGTCATGCATGACGACTAACTTAGGCTGCCGCATTGCATCATTTAAAGTAATAAAACTTTTATTCAGAACTATTTAAAAGTCCTCAACGTATCAAGGAAATTAACTGCTTAAAGCTTCTATAGGCACTTACACGTGTGATTCACTTTAAGATGAGTCCCATTGCCAAACACACTGATTTTTATGGGATGACTCCTATGTTGCATGTTGGTATATGAGCATTTGTGGGGTCAGAGACCACACTTCCAACCTGTACCTACCAAGAAGGATACATTCCTAAAATATAAGGATAACCTGGTATCATAATATGCAGAGGGTAGCAGTATTGACCCAAAACCTGAAAGTTTGAAGTGAGACTTTTACTCCAGTGACATGAAGTCCGAATCACCAAGAAAGTTTAGGTATAAGATGTTGCATCATTAAAAGGAGGGGGGAAATAGTAATTAAACATTCTCTGCCTTCCACTTGACCAGAAAATATATCCCTGCATCATGGCTGCAACAAACTCATTAAGGAATTCTAATAAATTCTCCATTGGAGAATATGCAATGTACTGCTGGCTTGCTTGGTAACCTCTTTGGACCAAGCAAATAAGAAAGCAGTATTTCATTTGTAACCACAAGGCATAGGGCTGTAAGGGCCATCAAAACAAACCCCTGCATTCATTTTTTAAAACAACAGCCTGGATTTATGTTAACCTTAAAGTTACTAAAAATGATCAAGACTAATGCTGATGCTCTGAACTGTCTCATTTTCTGCCAGTAAGCTTACAATATTCAACAAAATATATACCTATACTTATTTTAAATATGCAAAGTAAAATCTTATTCTCCCCACCTATACCCTCTCATCATCAACTGTGGTTCCAGCACCACATTCAGAGATGCATCTAAGTCACCCAGAAATATGTCTGTGTTGCTGTGTATTGCATGCTTTTTCCAGTCTTTGGTAATAGTTATTACACTGATTTAGTCATTCAAGGGCTAGGAACAGACATTCAAAAAACCTGAGCCTGAATTGATTCAATCTTTGCAGGTTAGCTTAACCTGGCTAGGCTAAATCAGTCTGTAAACAGAGAGACATCCCAGAAATGCAGGCACATGCCTGCAGTGGCTCAGACTAGAAACTGGGGGGCATGAGGGTAGCCTTCCTTTTCCTTCCATAGTGCTAGCTGAGGGGGGCATGGCCAGTCCCGGGCAACATACTCTGATTAGGGAGGGGTTTCCCCCCTCCCCCTTTCTGACCAGCCCAGCAGGGAATTGATAACACAGTGTTTATCAACCCATTAAGAAAACAACTGAGGGATATTACCAGCTACCTGCTGATTCTGCCTTTGTCCTGTCTGCCACAGCACGGACTGTAGCCAGCATGTGGTCTGCTACCTAATGCTGAGAGGTGTCTGTGCAAGGCAGAGTGGACAGGGCAATCTCTGCTTAGCAGGGAGTGGGGAAGGGAGGGACGGAGCAGGGGGAAGCCAGGCAGACACCTGCAGTCTCTGCCAAGCTCCATCCAGGGAGCAGAGAGGAGGGGCCACCTCAGCTGTGGAGCAGAGAGCCCCATCCAGCCCAGAAAGCATGCCAGGATGCTGGGGGAGTTTTCATAGATTCATAGATGTTAGGGTCGGAAGGGACCTCAATAGATCATCGAGTCCGAACCCCTGCATAGGCAGGAAATAACCCCCGGGGGTGCCTTGGTGAATAAATACTCACCAATTCCCTTCTGTGCCCCCGTGATGAACTTATAGGCAGCCACAAGGTCGCCTCTCAACCTTCTCTTGCGGAGGCTGAAGAGGTCCAGTTTCTCTAGTCTCTCCTCGTAGGGCTTGGTCTGTAGGCCCTTAACCATACGAGTGGCCCTTCTCTGGACCCTCTCCAGGTTATCCGCATCCCTCTTGAAGTGCGGTGCCCAGAATTGCACGCAGTACTCCAACTGCGGTCTGACCAGTGCCCGATAGAGGGGAAGTATCACCTCCTTGGACCTATTCGTCATGCATCTGCTGATGTACGATAAAGTGCCATTGGCTTTTTTGATGGCTTCGTCACACTGCCGACTCATGTTCATCTTGGAGTCCACTAGGACTCCCAGATCCCTTTCCACTTCCGTGCCACCCAGCAGGTCATTCCCTAGGCTGTAGGTGTGCTGGACATTTTTCCTCCCTAGGTGCAGCACTTTGCATTTCTCCTTGTTGAATTGCATTCTGTTGTTTTCTGCCCACTTGTCCAACCTGTCCAGGTCTGCTTGCAACTGTTCCCTGCCCTCCGGCATGTCCACTTCTCCCCACAGCTTTGTGTCATCCACAAACTTGGACAGAGTACACTTCACTCCCTCGTCCAAGTCGCTGATGAAGAGATTGAAGAGTATCGGTCCAAGGACCGAGCCCTGCGGGACCCCACAGCCCACACCCTTCCAGGTCGATACCGACCCATCCACCACGACCGTCTGGGTGCGACCCTCTAGCCAATTCGCCACCCACCGGACTGTGTAGTCATCCAAGTCACAGCCTCTTAACTTGTTCACCAGTATGGGGTGGGATACCGTATCGAAGGCCTTCCTGAAGTCTAAGTATACGACATCCACCCCTACTCCTGTGTCCAGGCGTTTCGTAACCTGGTCATAAGAAGAGACTAGATTAGTCAGGCATGATCTGCCTGCTACGAACCCGTGCTGGGTTTGGTTTAACTTAAACCAGCAAGAGGTCTGGGACAGACATTGCATAGACCAATTTGACCCAAATCAGTTAAGTCTGATACTACATTCAACCAGGTTTATCTCAAACCAGTTTCAGCCATTTTCAAACTGGTTTATGTGCACTGAACATCTGTTCTGCTACAGGTTTAAACAAGTTTCTGATCACGAACCGGTTTATGTGTAATGTCTGTCCCTAGCCTAGATGCTTAGACTTATCTCCTTAATCTTATCCCCTTTGATCAACATGGATTTTTACCATTTCAGCTTTACCAGTCACCTTCAGTTGGTGCTATGTGCCTGTGCCTTTCCAGTTAGAAACCTGCAACCACTTGATGCATCATTAACTCTTGTTGGTTGCCCTCCAGCCCTACTATTGTAGGACCAAGCTAGGGCAGAGTATAACTCTAGTGCAAGTGTAATAATATAAACTTACTCAACTATGAAAAGGGTGGTGAAAATAAAGATCCTGTGTATTAGCCGGTATGTTAGCTAAGATAAACCAGAACCCTCCCAGGACAGGAACAGTAATTGGCTCTTTACCTGTCATCACAGGAAGTGAATTTCATATCCATGCTGTGGCGACTCAAGAAAGTCTTGCTGTCCAGTGGAATATCAATGTTTGAGGGGTGCTGAATGGGCTCACACATTATTACAAGGCAATTGAGGAGGGGCTCCTTATACCCACACAGGCTGTGAGGCGGACAAGTGTTATACACCTTAATTTGTCCAGTGCAGTGCAAGACCTGAAACAAGTAATTATTTTAAAGCAAGTAATTCGTTTTAAACGTATGTTTGATAAACAGTCATAAAATCTTTTACCCATGGAACTTAATGGGGCTGAAATGTGGTACCTTCCATGTGGCAGATTTAAGGTTTACAGTCCTGCCTCTGTTAGTAACCGTGCATTTCATCCTCATGAAGAAGTCACGCTCTGTGGACATCTCCTTGCTTTTCTTTCCAAAACCTGGACCTACAATGAGAAAAAAAGATAATAAACCTTGTGAGGAAGTTAGGCTTGTTTTTTGTGGGGAACATCTTGCTTCTTGTGTTTTAAGCACAAAGGAATTGTAGGTAACAGCAGATTGCTTGACTTCTCTCAAACTGTTAGCCAAACAGCAACCTTGCATAACAACACCGATGTACTCACATCTTTAAGAATCAGCTCCTGTGGGGAAAAAAATTCCCTTCAAATTATATAAATCCCATTAAAGCCCCATAAAAAAGACCCAATTCCACTAACTGCTCCCTGCACAGACCCTCACCTATTCAGAATAATATCTAGAACTGGGGCCCAATGGTATAAATGGGACTTAAAAAATAGTGCATGGGTCCAGGTCCATTGTAACCATACATTTTAACTTGTAACACAATCTTTAAAAATGGTGGTTTCATGTGAAGATTCTTCAACTTAAGCTGATGACACGAAAGAACCAGAACAAACAGGTTCTTAGCACAGTCATACAAAACCAATCTTTTCACTGTTTTCAAAACTCTTGCTGTTGTTAAAAACTATTCCAAGAATGAAAATTCCCCCTTGCTCATGAGTGACATGGATATTATCAAATACTGCCTATCTGTCAGTTACTGTATGTATCTACTTAAAAAGCAAAAAATGAAAATACTTTTTTTTTTTGGTTACCAGTTTTCAGACTCAGATTCTCTCGAATTTCCTCATGGTCACATGGGTGAGTGAAGTCAAAAATGCTGTGCCCAGTTAATTCCACCTGTTGAAAAATATTTAGCAAAGTGTGAGGAGAAACAGTTTACATATAAACACATTTTAATATTTCAGAAAACTTTTGGATCACATATTCATTCAATACAGACAAAAAGACAAATTTGTATAATAGACCTAAAATTTTCACTTGCTGTCTACAGGTATAGAACAAAAAAAAATCAAAAAAATCTGCAGGTACTAAGACTAAATTAAATAACTTTTAAGCTTAGAACTATAACCTAGACATTGGCAACAAAGTAACCAAGACCACAGAGCTCAATCCATTTGCACCAGCTGAACTCTTGGTTTTAAAATATTGGAAACAGAGACAACAGGCCTCCAATTGAAGATACAACTGGATAAATGCAACTCTCTTGAATTGTAAGGGTATGCATTATGTCAGGGATAATTTAAGCCCAGTCTCTTTTATCAGCAATCAATTTGTAGTCTACCCTCTGTAGATGGAGTTTACTTTGATTTAACCATTACAATGACAAGTAACTCATATCTTGAACGGACAAGGTGATGGATGGGCTTTTTAATGTTCCTTTAACATTCTGTACATTTGAATACCTGCTTTTGTCATGGATGATGTCTCCTCCTGTCTGGAAAAATCACTTGTGGGATCTGGGCCTCTCAATGCTATGTAAGTCAGGGGACAGACATATGACAGGGGACAGAATCTGCCTATTAACACCAGAAAGAGAAGAACTGGTCCTCCAAAACATGTGGAAAGACAGGCCAAGGGCAAACACAGCTCAAGGCACAGGATCTGAGTTTGCTCATCTCTGACAGACTACAAATTATTATTCCAATGGTCTCTACAAATCTTGCAGCTCCAAATACGTGGAACAGTGGCTGCAGCACATGTGAGAGCATCACCAACTATCCATGTAAATTCTCTAGCTAAGCTACAGATATTCTTCATGGATCTCCCTCACCCATAGCTGTTGGCGATGTTCTACCTCATATGAAACACTTAAATAGGTATTTGGCCAAAGAGTGGAGGAGAGAGAATGGAAGAGCATCACCCTATAGCCTAACGATTAGGGTGTGCACCCTTAGGAAAGGAAGCATCTGGCTTCCAGTTCCTGCTTCAGTGACACCAACTAGGCACATTTCAAGTATTTAGGTGTTAGGTTTCAAAGGCAGCTACCAGAACATGTTAGGGAACAGATTACCTGTGTAAGGCCCATGTATTTGTTGATGTTCTCTGACAAGAAGATCATGTCTCCATCCTGTGTCACCACAGCAATAAATCCCTCCAAAGCTTTCAAGTACAAGTTGTCCATCTGCTGGTTTGTCTCTAGTTCATTCTCAATGTCAGAACACACTGAAATAAAAAGCAAAGGGGCCAAAATAATGAGTTTTCAGAATGATGATTTTTCTGCTTGGTATAAAATCACACCCAATAAAAAAGCAAAATCTGCCTTTTCTGATATTACAGTGCTACTTTTATAACACTAGTCCATTCTCACTCTCCTGAGGTGGAGGCGATTAGGCAGACCATTAGCATATACTCTTCACCATTAGGAAGAAAGTAAAGATGTCTTTTGTACAGGTGAAATAACATTTACTTCCTTTACAGTAACTGTGGCTCGTCTCGATGCTTTTTTCATATATATTCTACCTGTGTACAGTGAGGGCTGTGCCTGCACCCTGAAAGTGCCTAAGCCCACCAACCAGAGACAAAAGTGTGGGGCAACTGCAACCATTCCCCATGTCCTTCGACAATACAGAAACTCAATTTTACCAGACGCATAGTAGTGAGCAAAGATGAAGGTCATGGAATAAAATCTGAATTGACAGACCTTTCATAAGTGAGAAGGACACTTTCAACTAATGGCCCTTATCTCCAAAACATGTATGTGAAGTCAGATTTCCAGGGAGTCCATATATCTTGTCTGTAAAGGTTGTCTAAATGGCTGCTGAACTCAGCATGGAGACGCCAATAACTTTGGTTGCGATCGTAAAACAGTAGGCTTTCAGAGGGTCTTTCCATCAATTTAACTATGACAGGATTTGCAGGTAAAACACAGTGACATAGCTAATTGAGGTACACTAATGTGTAGAGTCTTTAACCACCCTTGTAATAAAGGTGAACTCTGGAAGTCTGAATTATGTATGTGCAAGAAACCAGAAGTCTTGAGAAATTGGAGACAAGTCTTCAATGATGTCTTGATATGAGTATTTAAGTGGGTTGAATGGTCAAATGAGTCTTGGAATATTTCTCTGGAAAGACAGGTCACTGTCATGGTAGAATTTCCTAAAGCACTATGAATGAATGAGAGTTAATGTTGAATTTCCCTCCCCTACCTATACCATAAAAGGGTGAAAAAATGGAAAGCCTGCTGAGTGGACTTGGTTCTGAGTTGAGATGACTTTACAACAATTAGCCAGCTGCCTATATGTAGGTAAGTTTGCACTCTTTGTGAAGGAAACATACTTACACTGTATATAACAATTAGGCTTGGAGTGCTTTGTTGGTGAGGGTTAAAATGTCTACAGATCTCCTTGTGGGTATGAATACTTCAGAGAGTGTAAAGCTTCATTTTCATATTGAAAAGTTTTTATCTTTCAAATGGATGGTCCTCAATTTTAATTTGTAATTCTTTAAGGATCAAATGGTTGAAGCTAAGAGGACCTCCTCATAGCAACTGAGGTAGGTAGAGATCTGAAATCTGTATTTGCAGCATTACAGGCTCCTTGGGGGGAATAGATATATGGCACAATTTGACTTTCAGCAGTCAAAGACAAAATCCTGTTATTATATCTGCACTGTTTGGTACAGAATCCAAATCCAAATAATCGTGTTTGGTAATAATTACATCCTGGTAGGTAATTACAATATGTTAGCTGCAGGCTTATTGAAGAAAAGAAGGGAGTCGGGGAGGGGGGAAATCTATCAAAGGACTGAGTAATAAGCTTGGACTTCTAAATAGTTAAAACAATGAAGAAGCCATGCAATGTGCAGAAAATCTCAAGCATCAGCTCATAGCCATGCGCACTGAAGAGGATCTTGGGGGGGGCAGCTCTATGATTTTGCCCTTTATTGCCCTTGGCTGGGAGCACAAGAATAATCAAGGCACAAATGCAGCTCCCAATGGACACTGATGACTGAAAAAAAAATTTTAATTTGAGTGCACTGGGCACCAACACTGACCTATATACAGACAAGTGCCTGAACAATCATTTCCTTAATTTTTATTTAGTGTTACAGCTTCAATGTGCCAAGTTTGTTTTCCAGTCAATAAGCACACTTTGAGCTTATTAATAAAAGGAAATGTTGAACTCTCAGTCTCCTCCCCC